GCACAGCTGAGAATATCTGCACTGTACCCAGAGACTGTGCACGCTCTTCTGTCGCAGCAGATAGGAAGCATTAAAACCGCACAGACAGCGTATGAAGACGTGCAGGGAAAGGCGCAGAGCGGGATTCTTCTGTTCAACGAGTCTGAGTACAAAGTGTGGGAGGAGCAGTGGGTAGAATGCGCATCGCAAATGCAGCAGTGGGACCTACTCTCCGAGATAGGCACAGCCACTAAAAACCCAGCACTAACTGCCAGAGCCAAATGGTTTACCTCTGACTTCTCAATAGAGTCAGAGAAAACAGCATTCAAGACTCTTATGATGCAGGACGGAATACCAGCAATGGATAGAACCTTCTACGATCTCTTTGTAATTGGAGAGAAAACACAGCAGACAGAAGAGTCTCTCTACAAGATAGTTGCATCAACAATTGAGGAGATAGGAAAGTACCCAAAACTCTCCCCGAGACAGATGCAGGCCGTTGAAAGGTTCCAAATTGTAGTGGAGATGAACGAGTCGTGGCAGCTCACAGGATCAGATGATTTGCGCAGAGACTTAGCAGGAATACTGCTGGCATGGAAGGAGCGTGTTCCCTTTGAGTGGGCTTCGCTCTCTTTCTGGTCTATGCTCGTCAGATGGAGGACACACGTCTTCTCGTCCCTGTGGAATGGAAAAGCAAAGGAGAAAACTCTCCAGTACAGAGGATACCACGAGACAGCACACATTCTGAACCTGTTCTCTAAGACACTTCGAAAGCACGGCATACTCCCTGCATCACTGTCAAACTTAGAGAGCATCTACACACTTCCTAATATAGAAATATCTGATGCTTACCTGAAATTAGAAGAACACGCTAAGTGCTATCTGCAAATGAAGGAGTATGGCGCAGGGCTGGATCTTCTGGGAATGACGAATCTGAACTATTTCACAGCAGCACAGAAGAGCAGTGTGTTCCTTCTGCGGGGCACTTTGCTCGAAGGAAGGGGCACGCCTGATGACGCAGCGAAGGTCTACGCACAGGCTGTCCAGCTGCACCCAACAAATGCGAAGGTGTGGTACCGGTGGGGGCTTCTCTCTCGGGGAGTCAACAGAGTCAACGCGGTAAATGCTTTTATGCAGGCAGCTGCTATCTCCCCTGGATCGCTCTCGCGAAAATCCATTATTGAAATCGTATCACTGATGGATCTCGAAGAGTCCAGCGAAGAAATGGAAAAAGTCTTTAATGCAACTGCAGGCGAGGTGGATGCGTGGTGCTTCGTGCCTTTTGTTATGCAGATGGTTTCCATCCTCTCGCGCACGGGATCGCTGATGGCAGTGAGCGCTTTGTCGAGGGTGGCACGCGTCTACCCACAGGCTGTGTACTTCCCCATAAGAAATGCGCTCGAAGAAGAAAGAAAGCGAGGAGTAAAGGAGGGAGCTATCAGTGACCTGTGGACATTCCTGAAGACAGGATTTACTCTTATGTGCATAAATATAGAGGGAATAGTGGAGAGCTTTACGCTGCGCCTGCGAGCATCTGCAGAGGAGGAGTTTTACAGGCTCATTTCAGCGCTGCTATCAGAAGCTCTGCAGCAGCTGTTTGGAAAAGAGCCAAGAGAGAACGGAACACTGGCAATGGCCATGCAGAAAATATCAGAGATGATTGGGATGTCATCCCTTGCGCAGAAGTACAAGGGGCTGTTCGACAGAGACTTTGCTCCTTTTTTAAGCGATGATCTAACGATGCAAAATACGCTGGAGATATCTCAGAAGCTGCTCCTGTGGAAAAAGAGCATGGAAAGGCTGCTGGCTGTGCATCCAAAGTCCATCAGCATAGAGAACATATCAAGACGCCTCGTTGACTTTGACCAGAGAAACGAAGACATCGAGCTGTTTGGACAGTACGTGGAAATAACCGACAGAGCACCGCAGATGGTCAAAATATCGCGATTTGAGCCTGATATTAAAATCAAAAGAAGAGGCGGAATCAGCCTGCGAGAGCTGGCAGTGCGCGGCAACAATGGACAGGTGTACCAGATACTTCTGCAGATGCCCTCAGGAAAAACAGCCAGAAGAGAAGAAAGGTTTATCCAGGCGCTGGCTCTGTTCAACGCAGCCATCAGTAGGACCGTGGAGATAAAAAAAAGAAACGGAATGATCTCCATCAAGAAAATTGTGTCGCTGAACAACCAAACCAAAATATTCATAGAGCCTGAGCCAACTGACTCTCTAAATGATATCCTGCACACCAAAATGAGCGCTGAAGAAGTGTACAAGATGATATTCGACTGCAGAAAAAAACTGCACGGAACAATGCAGATGAAAGATGAGCCGCTAAGAGAGACCGATGCTCTGGACCCTGAAAAAAGAGTGGATATGTTTTTGAGAACAACAGAGAGCGTGATAGGAGACAGTTTAGTGTACGACCACTTCATCAAGCTGTTCGATCTGCAAAGCGACTTCTTTTATTTCAGAAAAAGCTTGGCTATTTCCCATAGTATCCACTGCTTTATATCGTATGTGTTCTCGATAGGCTCCAGAATGCCGTCTAGGCTGTTCATAGGGGGGAGTACAGGGAAGGTGTACTCAACTGATTTCTATCCATCATTCTGCGACCGCTTGTCATTTGAGGAGGTGCCGTTTAGGCTTACCCCCAACCTGCAGAGAATACTAGGAAGAGCGGGGTTAGAAGGCCCCTTCTTTTCCATGATGTACCACATGGCTGCTGTATTCGGAAGAAAAACCTTCCTTATGCGGTACATGGATGCTCTGGCAAGAGAAGAGGAAGGCCCAGTGCAGGGCGAGAACAGTATGCGGCTATCGCGGCAGAAGGTGCAAGAGCTTATGCGCGTTGATGAGAACCCTGCAGCAGGCATTGTGAAGCTCGTGGGCAATGCAACTGCTCCGGAAAGACTTTCTATGATGGATCCGCAGTGGCACCCGTGGCTGTAGCTCTTTCTCTGTTTGTCTTGTTTTTATCTACCAAATAATTTTTAATTATTTTTAATACAGATTGAAAGTCTACTAGTTTTACACGTCACTATTTAGTGTACGGTTTGTGTTCTGCTAGTGGAGGCTTTTATGGCGCTGGCTCTGTGCTGTGTGGTGCAGCATTTCATCGTGCGAGTCTATTGGCTTTATTTCAGGCCGTGTTTTAAATAATAAAACCAACTAATAATCATTTCCCCTTCTCTTTCTCTTCTATATATTCAGGTGGCTCATTTGCAACATGCAGCTATTAACTCTTACGCAGCTAGTCATAGGCTGTCCGCCTGATGTAGATGGCCCCGAGGTGCAGGTCATAGTGGATGGGAAAGAGTGCACATATACCACGAGAACCCTTACAAAACAGGAGAGGCAGGCATTCATAGAGACAAATGAGTTCTGGCTTGTCTACACGGATGGCCTGGAGATAACCAGTGCATCTACAGCTATCATCACTCTCATCAGCAGAAATATTGTGGTAGGATCAATCAGCATTAGCAATATACACCTGGGCATAGAAAGATACTACAAAAAAGATTTCTTTGTTCGTAGATATCTGCCCAACAATATATTTATAGATGTAATAGTGGAGGAAGGCCCAAAAAGCAAACAAAAGTTGGAAAAAGCGAGCATACCTGAAAATATAGCAGGCACAGTTGGCTCTAAAGACAGCGCGGGATACATCTCAAACAGCAGAAGCAGAGATATTGAAAAAAGAGTTATCCCACTGGATAATAGTCGAACTGGAGATGTTAGGAACAGTACTGGCAATATATCAGATAAAATATCCCAAAGTGGAAATATCAATAATAGCTCATTGTGCTCTAGTAATACTTCTAATAGTAATGATGAAGGTCACAGCAGAAGTAAAAATAATACTGAGAGTTCTGGGGCAGAAGACAAAAATAGCACTCTGAATGATCGTATTAGTAGAAATAATAAGGGAGACAGAAAAGTAAATATTGATGGCACTGCAGACAAGAGTGCTCAGAACTCTCTTCCCCCCAGCAATGCTACTGCAGCTATTAATCGGACCATGAGCGGTAATAAGCCAAATGCAGCCCAGACCGATGGATCTGTCAGTACTCCAGGCTCTGACCACATCACTGCAGTAAAAAGTGCGCGCAAACTGCCGCCTCCTCCTGGGATGGTTGTGCGCCCTGTTGTGAACCTTTTGGAGGGCGTGGACATGCTGTCTAAGACTCTTTTCCCGCGTGTTGGGTGGAAACCTGTTCTCTCAGTCCGAGGATCACTCTACGAGAAAACTGCCCAGCCCCAGCAGGATACGCTGGAGAAAAGGTGGAAAGAAATAGAAGAAGATTTTAAAAGAAAGTTCTGCGTAAAGAGAATACAGAACAAAGTTGAATTTACTAAAAAAGAAAAAATCCCCAAAAAGAGCAGACTCCTCAACGAAAGACAAGAGTTTCTTCTGTCCATAGTCTTTGAGGCCATAAATAAGAAGAAAGTCTCACTGCCCGAAATATCCCAGGAGCTCACGAAATGGATTGAAACAGGCGAGTGCACACCGCACATCGAAGACATACTTAACTTGGCAGGAGTATTTCCCTCGGATAAAGACTGCGCCAATGTTCTCTCCTCTGCGCTCTCTTTAACCGCCACTGAAGAGTCTCTTAAAGAACTCCTTCTCTCCAACTGCAGCAAAAACAAACTTCTTCTCATTAAGTATGCACACTGGGCTGACCCATCACTATCTATGCTGATCGGTACCCTACAAAATACACAGAGCGCTCTTAGCGTGGTGGAACAAGATGAGAACTTTCCCCAGTTTCTTACGCTTATGCTGCGGATGGGAAACTTAGTCAACTACAAATACGCTGAAACAGCGAGCAAGACAGAGACGCAGGGCTTCCATCTTTCATCGGTCAGTGCGTTCTCTAAATGCTTCTCCGAACTGGCTAACGGTGAGGGATGCAAACTATCTTTGATGGAGCTGCTGATTATATCCTCTCGAGATATAGTTGATTTTGATAAGATCGTTAGTGTCTACAGTGTGTTCAGTACTTTTCAAATGAAGACACTAAGAGACCACTACAACATGATCAGAGCTGGCTATGATGAAGTAGCTGCACTGGATGACTTCAGCGGAAAAAAAGAAAGGCTGCACTCCATACTTCTATTGATAAAAGAAAGCAAGTGTCTTATCTCTGAGATAGATGCCAAAATAGGCAATTTGTCTAAGATCTATGCAGTGCCACCTGAGTCCATCACTGAAAGCATGGTTGATGCCATTTCCTCGATAAAACAGTACTGCAACCTATTTAGATAATTCCTGCTCACAGGTTATTCATAAATCTTATTTATTTATCAGATGTCTGTTTGTGTCCTAATTTACTTTTTATTTGGTGTTGGTTTCACTCAATTTCTGTTCAGGCCATATTTTCTGTTTTTAGAAGGTTGAATAATAACAATTAACACTTGGCAATTTCATCTATTTCTCCTATAGTACTGTCTTTTTACTCTTTGACAGCTATAAGAATTGGTTATGTTCTGTTCTTTAGCTATATTTTTATTTCAATCCTAGTGTGCGCATAGACATGAACAGAGCAGCGAATTTCAAATGAATAAAGACAAGTTCTCTAGTGCTCTATCACTACATGTGTACTGTTTGAATACACATGCTGTCCTATCCATTGCACAGATAGATCAATATTACTGTGCTATTTTTATTTTTATGTCAGCAAAGTGTCCATGAAAAGATGGACAAGGGTTTCTTCTGATGAGAGCGCTGTTGATGGCTTTACTTCTACGGGAATGTCTTCGAAGATATCCACTGCGTGGTCTAGGCCTTCTACTGCTGATAGTACCTTTATATCTCCTGACTCGATGTGCATAAGTTTTACTTCTATTTCGCCGTTCATCAGAGCTGATGCCCTTACTTTGTACTCTTTTGGGACATTTGACTCTTTCAGTATTGGGTCTAGTATCTGGCTGTCCAGCTGCATGTGCAGTATCTCTGCGCTCTTTTGGCCATACTCTGCCTCTTTCTTGTGGTATATAAAGACATGGTTGCTTCCTAAGACATCCGATGTGTATGTTATTGCTGTCTTGTTTCCTATGGTATACAGCCGAATGGTTCCTATGTATGTAGAAGATCCCTTGGAAAGACCTCTAATTAGAAGCATTCCCTCAAAGTCTTCGTGTCTCTCCACTGTAATAAGCATATTGAAAAAGCAAAAATCATTGGAGGAACATGTTTTATATTAGATGGTTTATATTTGTGTAAAACAGCAGAATCCAATGGACTCTGTGCAAAAGGAAGAAACTACACCATCTCCTGAACAAGAAACTAGCTCTGTCTTTGGACTGATTACCTTAACTGTCTTTGGAGTAGTTACCATAATAGACATTGTCCTCCTGTTTATACCAAAATGAATACATGAACCACTTTTTCTACTTACATCTCATATGAAAGTAAAACAAAACATTCGATGTTCCCAGCTTTAGATAGATTTAAAAGACTGTAAGAGCTCCTAGAAAGGAAATATTCTATTTATTTATGTATATACCTCATCTAAGTCTTTATTATTTTTATTTGAATATAAAAATATTTCTTGTTTATTTTTACTCTAGTGGTGTATGGTTTTTAGTTTTTTATAAGCTGTCTTTTAGAAAAGTAAATAGATGGTTTTATTTTAAAATTGCTCCTTTGGGCTCTGAAGGAGGAGAATAGTTGGCCTTCCATGCGGGCAGTTCCATGGCCTAGTTGTTAGAGATAGATTGTTGAGGATATCTTTCATTTTCTGCATGTTCAGCGGTTGGCCTATCATTATGCTTGTGCGGCACGCTTTGCTGGCGAGTATTTTTCTCAGCTCTTCAAATACAACTCTGTCTTTACCTTCCTGCACTCTTCCTTCCTTTATTCTTTCTACTATTTCCACTATCTCTTTTTCTCCAAAGACGCGTCCTTGATAGACAGGTGCTTCATGTATCTCTGTGCAGGCGCTGTTTAGTATAAACCCGTGTCTTTCTATTTCTTTGATGTTCTCTTCTATTATGTGTGTATCATAGCTGTTTATGTTCATTGGGACAGGCTTTATTAGTTTCTGTCTTTTGTACTCGTATGCCTTTTTGAGTCTCTCGTAGTTCACTGCTTCATCAGCTGCATGCTGGTCCACTGCATAGATGTGCAGGCCGCTGCTCTTTACTGCAGTGCATATAATAAACCCATTGTTAAACTGGCCTACAACAGACAGCTCGCCTATTTCCTTTGTATTTAGCCCTATCCCATCCTTGTGCCTATATTTCATCAGTACTTCATTGCTGTCTATTACCATAGCATCTATTCCAATGTTCTCTTTTTTTGGCGTATTTACTGATTTCGTACTGGTAACTATTTCATTTTTATTTTGAGAATAATTTACATTGCTATTGTTGGCTATAGCAGTACTATCCTTAGAAGCACCATTGCTGTTGGCTGCAGATCTATTAGTATTCGATGGAATGGTTGAGTTTGTGCTGCTCTGTGATACATTGATGGTGTGCTCTTTTGTCTGTGGACTGCTATCGAGTATGCTTTTGATAGAGTATGTGCTTATGTTTTCTATCTCTTTTATTATCGCTATTTCTTTGTAGCTTGTGCTATTTATTGCCAGATTGTAGTAGACTTTGCTATCGATCTTTGCACTGCTTTTTATAAGCTTGTCTATCTTTGGGTTCTCTATAACTGTCATTTTATTGTGGATTATTCCTTCTATTCCCTTTCCTTCGCTAATTATATACACCAGAGACATTGCGCTGCTTTGGAATGTAACTGTTCTTCGATTTAGTATGTTGTATATAGTGCATATTCTGTCTGTGTAGTTTACCAGGCTGTCTTCTAGTGCTAATGGAGCTATGTTGTAAGGTGTGTTGTATATCAGCTTGCTGTTCTTGTAGAGCTTGAATTGCACATTGTGGATTGCTGTGTATTTCCTTATTGCATCTACTATGCTGTTTATGCTCTTTCCTATGTGGCTGAACAGGTAATTGTGTCTTATTGGCTTGTTCTTGTAGTAGTTGTCTACTCTGATGGTTGTTCCTCTGTTCTCTTTGTGGTAGTCTGTGCTGTTTACCGTTATATTTTTTTCTTTTACTTCGATTCTTACAGTTTTCCCGTTATTATTTGTTGTAATGATGAAATCAGCCACTGCTATCAGAGAGTTCAGAGTGACTCCCTTGAACCCATAGCTTGCTCTGTCTGTAAATGCTCCCTCTGGAACTCCTTTGGAGGTGCCTCCTTTCATCAGAAAAAACCTATTTACTTCTATGCCTGCTCCATTGTCCTCCACTATGTAAATAATGCTACTATTTACTATGTCAATGCGTATGGTGATTGCGCTACTTCCACTGTCTATGCTGTTCTTCACTAGCTCATTTACAAGGGTGTATGCGTTCGGTAGGATTTGTTCTGTCCTAATGCTGTTCGCATCTTCGCTAGAAAGTATTTTTATCATAAAAAATGAAATATTGGAAGATGGCTTATATTACCAGAACATTCAAGAGAGCTCTGGAAAATGAAAACGTGTCTGTGGAGCTGCTGAGCAACAGACTGGGAAAGATTGAGAGAAAAATAAGAAACAGAATAGATGTAGTGCTAAGACAGCTGAGCATGCTGCAGAGAGAGCAGGTGGAGCTAGAGAGCATGCATTCTCAGAAATAAAGAAATATTGTATTGTTTATTGCTTCTTCTGCCGCCATTGATCTTCTTTCTTTCATCTTTAGTTTCTGTTTGATCTAGTTGCCACTACATGCATTGCCAAGTACACTGCTATTAGATAGACCGCAGGTATGCTTCTGCTAAGCACTTGCAAGACTATAGCCATTACAGTAAAGAGAATTAAATAGCTTACATATTGCACTTTGGCTTTGTATGACATAGCTTGTGAGATAGGTGGCTTAGACTGCTGGATATTCTCGATATTCTCTTCTCCTGATTCCTCTGTGATTGGCTGTATATCAATTTCACTGCTGGCAGGCGAGCTAAACTTCATTAGAGATAAGAAATAAAAAACTATTTATATTCTAAAAAAGATAGATAGATCAAACAATAAATCTACATATTGTAATTTTGTAAATTAGCTCAAATGCTTCTTAAAAGACGTGTGTGATATTAATGAATGTGAGCATTTAATTCTTCAGCAGTAAAACTTTTCACTAAAGACTGCGACACATAAAAATAGATGGGTGGTGAAGCGGGTGTATTTCTGTGAATCTATGCATCTTTTTGAATATTTATTTGGGAAAATGCAAATGTTTCAGCAAAAGTACTCGAGAGCCATCTAAACACTACGGTATATATGCACTTAAAACTAGAACACCTGCTGCATCTCTAGTTTTTCATTTGATTATCTCCAGTAGAAAGAATGTTCGTGAGTACAGCGCGTTCAAGAACTGCTCAGATTGGCTGACTTTTCTGACTCCTTCCATCTCTTTCAGCTGGGGAGTGTGTCCTGTTGCGTGCGGTAGGAATATTCCTATCCTTCCTCTGTTCTTCAGCACTTTTTTCCCCATTTCTATTGCTCTGTCGAGAAATGGAATTGAGAAAAGCAGATACTGGTCGCATCCTTCGACATATTTATTGCTGTCTGTGGCTCTTTTCTTAACCGTCTCTCTTTCTCCATACGGCGGATCGCACAGTATTACATCCACTGTGCTGTCTCTAAATATGCATCCATCAAACACATTCTGTGCACCTATCATCAGTACTTTGTCAGCTACATTGTACATCTTGAAGTTGCTATGTATTGACGTGTTTGGCAGTTGCGTTTTAATTCTTGAGTTTGTGTGGGGAATGTCTCTTCCCTTGAACTGTTTGCTGTTGATGTCTGTTCCAACTACCAGCGATCCGTGGATTGCGCCTGATAGCAAAATGCTCCCGCTTCCTGCATAGCAGTCTAATAGCACTGTTTTATCCGATACTCCTGATGCATTGCAGATTATAAATGATATTTCGTTGTCCATTGAAGTGTTTCCTATAAATTGCCTGTTTTTAACCGAATATTTCAGAAGCTGTTTTCTGTTGCTCTCTTTGTACAGCACTCCTACTATGCAAAAGCAGCTTTCTTCTACTACATATATGCTGTGGGCTGGATTAGACAGATTTACATTCTGCTGCATGCCCAAAGATGTAACAAGATGCTCAATTGCCTGTATTTTATCATTGCATATGCATTCTATCTTGTAGTCACCCTTTACTTCTTTTTTTAGAAACTCCAGAACGTCAGCTGTCAAAGAGCTGGACAGTTTATCTACTATACTGCTAGGCTCTTCTGCTTTTTTATCTGCTTTCCCATATTCAGTAAAATTCAGTATCTTGATGGCTCTGCTGACCAGCATGCTCTTGCTAAGTATGTAATCGATAGTAGAGAAAGACGTTGTGATTACTGTATATTTAATGGGGCCTTCTATCTTTGTTGCATAGATAGTGTATTCTTCTTTTGTGTTGTTCAATAGCCCTTGCAGCTCTGGAACTATGAATGAGTTGTATCTGTCCACGTGCAAAAGAAGAAAAGTCTGTCTTTTTTCTTCTTCCAACATTTTAGAAAGCGTAAAAATAAATAAATTATTATGCATAGCACTCTGCTAAACTCTACTGCTTACTTTTGAATGGAAAGTATGAAAATTTATTTGTTATTCTCCAATGTTCTCTGTCCAAATCTGCACTTTCCGCTAGAACAGTGTTTAAAAACTCTCTAAAAGCAGGCTTTATTGCTTATCTAGTGTTAAATCTGCTATTTGGGAAGTAGCCCATGTAGCTCAGGAAATAGCAGATTGCTATATTTATTACTGAAATGAATAGAGCAGCAAGAAACATAAAGAGTATGTTACTGGTTAATGTGTTTATGGATGGCTGTCTTTTTTCATCGATGCTGCTTTTATCAGCAAGTAAATTCTTTGCAGGAATCGACACTTCTCGAGAGTCACTTCTAGAAAAGCTCGCACTAGAAGTAGTTGCTATACGGGAAAAGTCTATTCTAGGAGGAGTTACG